ATATATATATATATATATATATAGTTAAATAAAAATTAAGTCCGATGCCTGTAAAATCTTAAACCTTATATACCTGTGCCTATTTGTAACCAGTGGAGCCAAATACAGCCTGCTGGCCTACACAACACTGGGTCTGCCTGACGCTGACGGCAACTTTCAGTCTCACTCCCTCATCGTCTACCAAGACGGTAAGAAACAACAAAGTGTGTTATCTTRGGTAATAGAGAGGTTGTGTTTTTGAGCTCATAAATTTACTCGCTTCTGAAGATAGATTATTTTACAGCAGTAGAACTGAACTAAAAGTAAACAAGAAACATAAATAGGTGTAAAGTGCTTGTTGAAAAGTTCTTCATTTATGATGAATTTGGACTGTGATCCATTAATGTTCACACTATAGTACAGAAAGTTGCAGACCTCCTTTTATTGTCTTTTCTAATCTCTTCCGCTCTTTGTCCTTCCAGCTGAATGGTCGTCGTGGCTTCCTCTTTACGGCAACCTCTGCTGCCGGTTCGTCGTGCAGCCGACATGTATGACGCAGAGCATGATGAGTGGCTATTTGAGTCAGAAGGTGCGCTGGCAGCTTTTATTATCACTGCGTATTTCCACAGTCCTTTTTCCGGTTTAGATCATGTCACTCTGTTTTTTTTTTTTTTTCTTTGCTGATTTTCAGCAAAGCGTGGAGGGGATGAGCCGCTGCTGCAGCCTGTTCTGTGTGCTGAGCGCCGGCTTTTTGTCCTGCTACTTCACCCCAGAGGAAATTGATGCTAAAGTGCCGCCCGCTTTTAAAGTCCCCGTCAATAAGGTGAGAGAGAGAGGATCGTAAGCAGAAAAGTGCATTCAGTTTTTGCAATTATTAATATGTAATTTGATTTTCAGCTCACACGTCACGGATGTTGTTTTTACAGGAGACCAGGATCCACGTGTTGAGCAAAAAGTCAGCGGGCCTCAAATCCAAGACTCTGTCCATCATCAACCCTTCACCTGAGGGATCTCAGACCGTTGTCTTCATCGCAGACAGCGGAGACGAGCTGGACAGCTGGCTGGACGCCTTCAAACAGCATCTCTATGACCAGAGTAAGTGTTTTTTATGAGTATTTTTAAAACGAAACTGAACCATAACAGATTGGATCGTATGTGGAAGAGTGTCCATATTTAGCGAATGTCCTCTCAGCAGGGATGGACAATATAAGCTTTCTCAGTGTCTCATGTCCATCATTGTTTACGACCAGGCCAGTGGCTGCACTGCTGCGACCAGCTAATGAACATCGAGGTCCTGTCGCCACGAAAACCATCTCTTTTTCTCACCAAGCAGGCCGACTCTGTTTACAACGATCTCAGTGAGTGAAATGATAAAAGTATAATTCGCTCTCTATTGTTGAAGGTTTTACAGGATTTGTATTTAATTAAAAGAAAAAAAAACCTCATGCAAATAAGACATAAAATATCCTATTAGCTATGCACAAAATGTCTCATTCCAATGGTGATGCATGCAAATAAAATCCTTTTACATGCAAATTAGAAACTAGAAATATGCTTTTGTGTCCTTTTTGAGTTGTTTTTTTAGCTTCATCTAACAGTTTGGATCATAAAAAAAACAGTAATTTATTATTATTTTTTAGTTTGCATTTAATTTAGTTTCCCATTTCCTGTTTCTTGCAGGTATAAGCTCTCCCAGCAGGTTCGAGAGCATTACAGATATCATTCACAGTAAAATTGAGGATACAGATGGCCACTTCCTTATAGGTCAGGAGGAGAGGAGGGAGGTCCCCAACTGGTCCTCTCTTTTTGACGGGTCCCGTTCAGTGGTGGTGGAGAGGAGCGTTCTGTCCCAGAGCAACACCTCCACCCCTCGCTCGAGCCCCAGCCGCCCCGCCAGCTCCACGCCCCTCAGCAGCAAGAAGCGGCGAGCTCCGCCCCCGCCGTCCGACGCCAAGCCGTCCGCTCCCCCTGCCCGTCCGCCCAAACCCCCACTCCCCGCTCCTCCCCCGTCCCGGGAGAAGGAGAACCCGGCCGCCTGCGCTTCGCGTCCAGCCRCGAGGTCCAAGACGGGCCGTCCGTCTCTCGACGCCAAGTTCTCTGCCATCATCCAGCAGCTCCAGAGGAACAACGCCGGAGGCGGGGCCACCAGAAGGAACGCTCCGCTGGCCGTCCTCGACATCCACCCGCAGGGTCCTCCCCAGCCTTCGCTCAAACCGCTCGACCACGAGGACCCCGACCTTCAGACGTCTGAGGAAACAGCTGAGGGTGGGTTTTTCAGAGCCTGTAGTGGTCCAGGTCCAGGGCCTGCTCCTGCGCCGCGCAGCAAACTAAGGAAGTCTTTCAGAGAGAGAATGAACCTTAAAGCCCTGTAGCCTCAACATTAACCAGTTCTATATTTGTCTTAACTACCACTAACATGATTTACTACATATTGTTTTTTTATTATTAACTGAGCCAAATAATAAAATCACTTAACTGTACCTCAGTAAAAACAACTGCAAGTACAGATAAATACTTCATTATCATTTTATCAGCTTTAGAGTCAAGAACAAGATGGAAACATATTTTTACACGTGTATAAAGTTGAATGCAGAAGTTTTAAGGGGACAAATTGAGCAAAATCCACTATTTTAGCAGTTAAATGCATTTTGTTGTGTACTTGGAGTCTTTAGGAGTGCAGAAAATTAGAATTTAATCTCTCCAGGTGCCTGGTAGATATCTCTATATTCTGTTTGATTCATATTTTTCAACCAGTTCAGTTTTCTCTTTTGTCTATGACTCTTTCTGAAGAACTATTACATCACATTATTTGCAACAGAACTGCAAAATAAGGTCTGTACCAACTACAATTTAGTCATCTTCATTCTCCTCTGGCTCCAACATGTAAGTCTGGATGGACAATTATTTTAAATAATTTCTAAAAAAAAAAATTCTGTGCTGCTATAAAGTCGTAAACCCCTCTATCAAGCTAGAATGGACCAGTCTGGAATGGACATGAAGCGCCTTGGATTTAAAGAGACAGCCTCAAAACGAGTCAATCTGAGACACACCTCAGAAAAGAGGTGAAAGAGGGGCTTGTGGAGTTACAATAAGGAGGAAATCAGACCAAAGCATTGCAGTTCCACTTTACACAGACTCCAACTGAATGATTTAAATGTAGACAAAGAAAGATGTAAAAGCACGATACGTCTTCTTTAAAACAGAACTGCCTAGTCTCCATCTGTCTAAAGCCTTTGTAAAGTTTTAATGTGCAGGTAACCCACACYGCCTTCAGCACCATTATCAGTCCGTCTCAAACAGAAAGGCTTCTTTTCTCTGCCACTGGAAGTTAAACTGAAAGAAAGCGCTCCTGCAGAAGCACTTAAATTAGAATTGATCCATGTGTGCGTCATTACTTTAGGAACTATTGACATATTCCACTTACTGTGACAACTTTATGACCACTATAGCTCATTTTAAAGAAACACAATTTTGGGAGCAATTGTAAGCACTAATGTGACTTCTCTATCCCCTCCTCCCCAGAGGTCTTTTAATAGAGTGACCTTGTTTTTTAGTGGCTCCACAGTATGTCTAATATAATTTAACATAGCAGCCAATAAATGCTCTGAACATAATTGAATGAATGGGTCTTTTGAGTGGCCTAAATAATGAATGCCCTTGTGTGTTTGTTTAGAACACAGCCAGCACTGCTTGCAACTAAATATTTCAGCCACTTAATGGTATTGTGTTGAAGAATGGTCATAATTACTCTCAGCAAAGTAAACATTAGGTTTTTGCTGCTTTTCTTTGAAATTACCTGACCGGATGAAGCAATGTGGTGCAAGCTACAGTAGCTGTTTATTTTTATTTTTTCTCTCATGTTGTCCTACAAACTGGATTTAATTTTAGGAAGGTAGATGTAGATTCGAGTGGAGGGTTTAGTTTAAGCCTTGGAGGAGGTGTAGAGTTGTTTTTCTTCTATAGTGAAGGATTAAATGACCTCAAACTGACTGTTTTCATTTTGGTTTGAAAGAATGATTAAAAAATGTTTTAGAAATTTTACTGCAGCTTTGAAAAATTTATTTTAAAAATAAAATTGTACAAGGATCTTTTTTTAAAAGATCGACTCCATCTTGTAGATTTGTGTTTATTATTTACAGCCATATCATTTTTATACTTATTGTTTTTGTACCAGTAAGTTGACAAATATTAATGTTGTCCTTGTACTGCATTTTAGTGCAATGTATAAATAATATGTAGTTATTGTTTCTCTAAAGTGCAATTTCTTCTATTTCTCAGAAGCGCACTTTTTTTTTTTTTTATAGCTGAGCTGCAATAAAATGACCTACTTTCCACCCTGGTGAGGCCACTTTATTATTATTTTTTTGCTGAGCTTGGAAGTATTTCTGAATATTTTTCATGTTAAAAGTTTACCAGAGGGTGGCAATAAAAGTCAAAGCGTTGCTTTTTATTGCAGCCCGGTTCACATCCCAGAGATACAACATGCACTGGCACATTTCTCCACTGCAGCAAACACGGGTGAGGCTTCTCTGGCTTCCAGCCCAGAAGTGGCCTGTTGTGAAGATTAAGGCGCATAGAATCTCATAGTCACATAATAGTATTACARTAATAAAACCTCATTCACACTGCATTTACTCAGGGAGGAAGGGGGGGGAAAAAAGAACATTACATTGACATTGGCACAATGGTGTCATGTGCAGTTAAAAACACAACTGAAGAAACGAGTATAGTAAAATATTTTAATTAAATATACAGGTCATATCGTACAAAATGTCTATTTTTTTTTCTTTTTGTCTTGCACGCCAGCTGGATGATTGGTAAACAGATGGCTATGGTATCAAAAACAGTTTCAGAATGCACATTAATGGAGACAACATAAAAATGAAATGAAACGAATAATAAAAAAAAACTAAAGATACTAATTCTTAAATTTGTAGTGTTTGATTGAGCCTCACGTGAAACAGAGCAAATAAAGACATAGCTAGTTTGTATAACCGATTTTTATAATGTCTTTTTTTCTTTAATTATTTACAGATTATAACAGTTTATATAACCACGCAGTCCTATCTACAGTGCTATTTACAGAGAAAATAAGACAAAGAAGAGATTTACCATGAGTTGATCCCGTATGAATGTTCTGTACAGAAGCCAGCACTAAAAGCCAGTTTTTACCTACACAGCGAGGTACAGTACTTAATCAGAAATGAATGTCTTTAGGCATTCAGTAAAACCTCACTGCYTTTTTTCTTCTTCTTTTGAAACACTAGAAATGTTCACCGTGTATTTCAGCTACACTGGACTCCAATTATAGTGGTTGTAAAAGCCAACGCAGGTGTTGTCTTTCCACCTCAGGCTATATGGAGCACGGTAGGCAAAATTTATAGCGTTTGGTACCTTTTCATCACTGCAGTGCACATGTCCTGCAGAGACAGACACCAGACCCGTGTCTTTATCAGCTGTCGCTAAATATGTATTATTATTATTATTATTATTTGCATTGATACGGTTGAGCTGGGCGGTTAACTTTTTTTTAAGCACAAAAAATAAGTTGTAGTTTCTTTATATTTTTAAAACCTTTTAGGTCTGGTGTCTTTACAGTGTGCCATATAGTTTTTTTTTTCTTCTGTGCACTGCATTTGACACACRAGTGACAGTAATATTGACATTCCTACCCTGCTACTGAGAAATAACCTTAATGAGTGTAGTGCTAACTCTAATCCAAGACCGTGAAAGGCACAGATATTTGCAAAGCAGTTATTTCCTAAGTGACAACATTCCTATCAAATCATATAATGAATCTTTTTTTAGGGAGCTGGATAAGAGAAGAAAAGAGCTTTTCAAGCAAAGAACAACAAAAAAAAGATCAAATGCTGATTTTTTTCCCCCTTTTTTTTTTTTTTTTTGTGGTGAGCATTCCACAGCAGACGGCTGCTTCATTATGCTGGTTCAACAGACAAAAACAAGCCGCAACAGTCTACTCATCACAAAATGTTTCGGAGGTTAATTTACTCTCGGTTTTAGAAAGTAAAAATGATCCCAGCTTCTTTTTTTTTCACCTCTGAGCAAACACACATTCATGGTTCGTCAACTTATGTGTAGATCTGAAAGGACGTAACAAATACAAACCTGAACTGAGTCACGAGTGGGTCTACAGTACATCTGTCATACGCAGCACCTCTGCATGTTAGGATGAAACTACTCGTGTTAAGCAGCACCACATTGAGTTTTAACATTTATTCCAATCAGTCCAAATGGATTCACTGTGGCACAAAAACAAGCCGAGTTCATCGTGGAGACACGTAAACAGACACACAACGCCCCTGGCWGCCTGAACAGTAATACCGTCTTTATCAGCTGTTTGCAATTATCGACACACATCTATGAGCTATTTCGGTTTCATTGTCGTGTTACTTGTAGTGTTTTTAGGCAACAAAAGTTTAGCCCTCAGACACAGTAAACAAATGGCTTTTCTCTGTTGCCCTCCACTTTTCGCACATCCAGAGCAACGACCTGACTCGTGGTCACCCGAGAGCGGCAAAAATGATCTGTGAGCATATACACGTGAGCTTTGTGCAAATAGGGATACAAAAGCAACGACGACATAAAACAAAACAGGTACAGTAAGTGGTGATACAAATACAAAACAGTGCAAAGTATATAAACAAAGGCATACGCAAAAAAAAAAAGGAATTTTCTGCCCAAGTGACGAATTCATCAAGTTCAGTTATGATCAGTATTTTGTCCTCGACAAAGAAGGACAAAAAAAAAGAACAGTTTTTATGCTTTGAAGGTGAAATGAAGCAGTTTTTGTGTCCCTCACAGTCTGGTGCTGGGGTGTACCGACGACAGCTGAGGTGGGGGGAGGGGGGAGAGAGGGTAGAGGTGGGGCAACAGGTCTCCGCATAAGGGCGCCCCGCCCGGCTGTCTGTAGAAGGGGTGCGGGCTGGAGGGGTACAGGTGCCTGTGGAGGATCATGGATTGGAGGGCGAACGAGGGCACGAGGGGAGACACGGCCGACTGGCTTTTCAAGTACTGCAGTCCGGGATGCTGCTGGAATCCATCCTGGGCGCTGGGCGACACCAAGGTACCGTGTGGGTAAATGCCAGCGTAGAGGGGTGCGGCGTGGGGCAGGGGGAAGGAGGTCGTAGGGTGGCCCTCTGGTAGGTGATTGTTGAGGTGAATGGCGAGGGCCGGCTCCGCGGGTTTCAGCTCCTCCGGGTCGCTGCGTCGGATGGTGCTGGCCGGGTGGATAGGTGTCACCACGCGCACTTTCCGCTCTGGAGGGCTTTCGCTCTCGGGCTCCACCAGGCTCCGCTTACTGGGTCGAACAGAACTACCGAGGGGCAATTCACCTGAAGATTTGGGGCTGGAAAATGGCTGTGACGACTCGGAGGAGCTCTGTTTGGGCGGGGAGATTGTCATTGGGGGAACTCTGCACGCTTTAGGATGGGAATCCAAACCGTGGTGCATGATGGGATAGGAGAGACCACAGAAGGGGGTCTTGGAGAAGGAGGAAACCCTCTGCGAGAGAGGTTTTGAAACGGTGAAGTCTCTGGGCTCGTCCTCGGCCTGTCCGTTCTCTCCGTGTGTTTGAGTCCTGTCACTGAAGTGAGACCTGTAGGCCAAGCCCTCCTGCTCCAGGCCGCCACAGGCGAAGCTCTGGCTGCCCTCGCACTCCCTGCTGTAGTGCTCCCTCCGCTCTCCACTGCTGAAGCCGGCCATCCTCTCTTGGCTCAGGCAGCTCTCGGTTTGTCTGTACAAACTGTGGAGGTGAGGGGAGGAGTAGCAGTCGCCTGCGTAGCTCCTGGACTGAGCCGCCGGGCCTTGGAGTAACTTCTCCTCGGTGGCTTCCACGCCGTCTTGGGTTTGAGTTCGCGGAAGGTACGGCTGCCACGGCACGCTGGCTTGAGGCTGAAGGGGACGGCTTGCCCGGCAGCTGAACGTGTCCGACGAGTCCCCGGCGGAGCTCCTCTCCGACGGTCCGCCGGTGCTTTGCTGGTGGGCCTTGCTGCTCTGGGCGTGCTGGATGACCGAAGGCCTGAATATGGGTGCCACCTCGGGGACGCCGTCCAACAAACCGTTACGTTTCTGTCTCGCCGCCTCCTCGTCGCTTCTTCTCTTCTCTTGATCGCGTTCTGAAACCGATAGGACCGGGAGGGAGGGTGTGGCTGTGGGCAGAGGGGACTGAAGTGAGAAAGAGTAATGGTTGGTATCGCACACTTGGGAGAGGAGCTTCTTTTTGGCCAAAGGAGACATGACCCCCTGGCTGGCTTTGCAGTAGGCAGCGGTCTGTCCAACGCCCTGGGYGGACTCCTTCTTAATGACACCAAAGTCCTCTTTCTCTGGGAAGGAATCTGTGCTCAGGTCTATACACTGTTCGTCCGGCTGCTTACACATGGGCAGCACCTTGCCCACTCTCCCGCCGTGATTTTCAATGGAGTCTTTGACCTTAGAGAAGTGCTCCGGCAGAGCGATGTGTCCGGCAGGTTTGCTCTGATCCCAGCAGTGAGGCAGATAAGGGTTTTTCGGAATGAAACGCCCTTCGGTTTGCTGTTCGCCGACGAATTTGGCTTTGAGGGCCTCGCTGATTTGCCTCCACTCGGGTTGAGGAGCAGGCCCCGTGTGGAGGGAGAAATCACCGTGCGGGGCTCTGAAGTCGAGTGCGGACGGCTGCTCCGCTGCCAACGACTCCTCCTTCTTCAGGGTAACATGTAACTCTTGCTCCTCRATTACAATCGGTTCATCTTGGAGAGACGCCTCCTTTTTCACAGCTATGGAGAGCTCATTACTCACTTCTTTCCCCTTTGAGTCCTGCTTGAAAGAGAAAAAACATAGCTGTTAGCATTGAATCTGAAAATAGAACCCACCAAGACACTTCCATGTTTTTGTCCTAATTTCAAAAGTCAAACAMAAAAAAAAAAAAAAAAAAACTGGGACAGAAAGAGTGGTGATGAGGCAGCAGTTGGAACTGACCTGTGTTTGTTCTCGTCTCRTTTCCCCTTTGTCCTTTTTACTCCCTGGCTTGGGGCCTTTCAGTTTCTTAACCCCAGCCGCTTTTGTTTTGGCTCCAGCTGCAGATGCCTTCTCTTGGCTGCTCTCCTGCTTCCTGGGTTTGGTCAGGGGGAGGGGCATGTCCTGCTCGCCTTTAAGGTGCCTCTCGTAAGGAAGGAGGAGCCTGAAGGAGCAACGACGCAGGCGATGAAAACATGAAGTTATGCCATATTCAGGTGACACAGTTAGATCCTTTTGCCATTACACAACCTTTTTTTTTACTTATGAAATACTTTAAATAAATTAAAAAACTGCATCTCATCTGTGTTGAATATTTTGTGGTTGATAAAMTGAATTTTAGATACAGTCTAATTATTTATACTTTGTGATCGATTGTACAGTTATTTCATTTAAACAGTAAGAGAATCAACAAGCAGTATAAACAATGTTTTTATTTCAGGAATGTAGAACTGCTTTAAGGGAACTTCCTTGTTTATAATGAGATCATATCCAGGGTGTGACCAGGTTTTAGAAAAAAATAAATAAATWAAACATTGGAATGACGTGTGATGGATGGACCGCAGCGCTGTGATAATCTTTATGTGTGTGAATAATTCAAGGSTGAGTACTGGACCAGTTTCCTGCACCAGATTCAGGTTCTCATTATAAACKATTCCTTTCACGTGCAATGTTTCATGCCAGAGTTGTGAACTAATCTTATGTTGAAAAATGACCGAATTATTATTGGTAAAAACCTTGAAATTAATGATATGAGCAATTTCATGCAATATCTCAGGCAGGTTTGAATGATCTGCTAGAGTTTGAATTAATATATATATAAATATATAAAATTTCTTTGTCATTTTTTGATCAACCAAAACCAGATGCTCTCATGTTGTATTATTTACTTTGCTTTTAAACCTCCTTGTTTTAAAACCTGGAATGCATTAACAGTTATACAGTATTGTCATTAAGCTGGGCTAGGGGGAAATCCAGACCTAATGTGTGTGCGTGCGTGCATGCGTGAATAATGAGTTATCCCCTGCTGAGAAAAGATCACATTTGGTATTACTTTAACCTCCAAGGAACCAAACGCATGTGTGGGTGTGTAATGTTACTGTGGTGGGAAATGAAAAAGGGAGAAAATATTTGCAAGAACTGAAATCAACAGCTTTAAAGAAACGCTGCAGCATTTAAAATCCACTTCAACAAATTAAAAATGATTAAAGACAGAAGCCCTTAAATTTGCTGCGATGGTAAACATATTTTCAGATGGCAACTGAGTGTGAGCTTTTAAACAAAGCGATAGCTCTTCATTCTCATTCCTAATTAAATTTATACTAAATGACACGAGGCATTAAGCAGAATAAACAAATTATGACTTCTAATATTTTTCTTCAGGATGAATTTCGAGTCAGTTTTCCATATGTGATGATGTGGGAACATGAGGATCTGGATAACGTAATAACACCCACGTGTAAAATAATGACATAAAGAAACCAACAAGGGAACCTTTTAGACTTTTATTGCTCACGGCACAAAATGGAAATTGGCACCGAACCAGAAATARGAAACTTGTTAGAAGAGGAAACCATGAGAAGTGAGGAATTACAAAGCTACAAACTCCAGTATGTTCCTCTGAAGATCTGTCCAAACCCTTTTTATAGACTAACAATCTGTGAAAGCCCCACGGAAACATGACTTTTTCAGTCAGGAGAAAAAAAAAAAATGAAAAAAAAAAAAAAGCAAAAAACTAAGGTCCTCTCATGTAAACAGCAACAGACAGTTGCACCATTCCTTTTAAGGGACATGGTGGTAAAACAAACAATGAATCAAGAGCTGTTTCGCCTCTTCAAAAGGGAAAAAAAAAAGCTTTTGAGAGTTCAAGAGGCTCTGTGGGATTTTTTTTTCTGTTATTTCTTCTCTGAACAAAAGTGCTGGCAGGAAAAGCAGTGAAACTACATTTCATACAGCTGGTCTGGCACCAGGCCCCAGGCCAAGAAAGGAAATGTACTATTAAATGTGACTTATTGGAGAGACAGAGAGCGAAAAGGTTGTGAAAGAGCGGGGAAAAAAAGAAGAGAACAGACCAAACAGAGAAAGGAAAAAAAAGAGCGTGGAGGAGGGGGCGTTGTTAATGAGCAATAAAGATTACTGTGATGAAATCTTAGCAAAGTCTCCAAGATTATTGCAAGTATTAAAGTTCTTTGAAGGTTTTCTATATTTAGAAATCATTGCTGAAAAATGAAAATGATTATAAATGTTTTACTGTTATGATGTTGCAGTTTATTTCAAGATGAGTAAAAGCATCTGTGGTCTATAAATACATGGCTGAAGCAGCCAGAGAATAATAATATTACAGAATATATTTTTATATACCAGGGTACATTGGTAACTATCTGCATCATCTGTGGGAAAAAGCTGGCTGACTTGGCCCGGGTCAGCTGTAAGGAATGTTAAAAAGGGGGTGAAGGAGGGGGGGGGGKGGTGTTGTTGCCAGTCCGTCTAATGTAAGAACTGATCCCGGAAAATTACAGAGGACTTAAATGGTTTCAAACAAAAAGTCTTATGTTGTTATGTAAACCAGAAAAATAAACAAACAAAAAAAAAATGCCCTGGGAAGATTCTGTCGTCAAGAGTTATTTGCTTTGCCAACAAAAATTTGACGTTTAGGTCAAGAACTGCAGCTTGTGAAATTATATGATTGATTTCTATCCTACTTTTATTGTTTTTGCCAGTTTTGTTGCTTATCCAGTCATAAATAAAAGCTGAAGTTACAAGGCTATAACTGCTTTTCCCATTTTTTCATTACACACACACACACACACACACACACACACACATATATATATATATATATATATATATATATAAGAAAACACAGCAAACAAAAATAGTAAAGCCATAATAAAGCCCTCACTGTGACAGATTGGAGCAATTTCAAGCAGTTCACATATAACTAAGTCATGATTGTGCAACATGATATAATAAGCTCTTGTGATACAATACCAGAATAAGTAGCAATTTCCTCCAAGGCAGAGAAAGGAGTTGAGCTTGGCAGCCTGAGCTGCAGCTGAGAAAGCCAGGTGTAGTTAGTCATGTCAGCCACTGGGGGGCGAACGCTGCACTGACAGATTCCAGGAAGTGAGGGCAAAGGAGGCAATGTTTTTATGAGGTCAATAAATACTTAACTTTACCTCTTGCCAATATATCACCTGGTTGTTGTGTAAGCAGCACATTCTATGTTAATTAGAAACAATTAAAATATGCAGTGAGAGATCAAAAATAAAAATAAAATAGAGTATATTAATAGCTTGTAAAGACTGTGGTTTAAAAGTTTAATATATACAGTATGTGTAATACCCTGGGTAACCGTCAGCTAAGCAGAGCTGCTTCTTTGAAATAATGGCTCACACACACACTGCGCCACACACACACACACGCACATAAAAAGACAACTTGGCAAAAACAAGGTGACTTTACCAGCAATGTGCTGCTCTCATCTGAGTTTTGAGTTACAGGAACAAGCAGAGTGCTACAATCCAAGAAGTGCCTAAGTCACCAAATAAGTGGAAAAAGCCTGCGGGCTGTTCCATTTCAACAATTTCCCACCCATCCGTGCTGAAATTAATTTTAGCTGGTGCTGCATTAAAATCACAAGAGGTGTTTCATGCATAAAAAAAGCAAAAGAAACTATTTAAAGAGCTGGTGGACAAGCCCCCCGGGGGGTGGCAGAAAGCTCACTTTTACGAGCCTTTTTTCCAAGAAGTCACATTTTTATTAAATTTAACTGCGATGGTTAAAGCATCACGGCAGCTATAAGAGAAAACAAAACGCCTTCGATGAGATGCCAGCAGGGAGATAAACAGACATTGTATCTGGTCCCTCTGCTTTGGATTCATGCCTCAAAAGCTCCTCTTTTGTCTCGAAGCCAAACCACTTGAGGTGACCCTCATTCATGCAGTTAAAACAGGAGGGCAGTGCAGGAATGTACGAAAACTTAAGTCCTTTGTCGAGTCTGAAAATACCAGATTTCAAAATGACCTCTACTGTTCCCCAGGGGTTTGCTCTCATTAGCCGCAGCCGCTCGCCAGTAAACGTTTGGCGCGGCAGGTGTGAGCCGGGAGCACCAACTGTGTAAAAATAAAGAAAACACTCAGGACGTTCGAGCTGCTCGGCTATTAAAACACCAATAACGTACGGAACCTGCTTCCTTTCGCTGCTTAAATATCAGCTACAACGACCTGAACGTAACGCGCCACGGCGAAATGGCTGTTAATCGCCGCAGACTTAAACCGATTCTCATACAGTCGATTGCCTGTCACACATGAGTGCTATAATTTATAAGCATTTGATTAAATTCCACATAAAGAACTAACACATTACTGTGATTTGTTTAACTGCTTCCAAGAAAAAAAAAGAGTATTTTTTTTCCACTCACTGAACGCTCAATGAAGCATTTGTCGTGCAGAAAGCATCCAGCTCTCAGAGGTTAAAATAGCTGCCTGCTATTTTGGTGTAAAGAACATGCAGCTCTCTGGCAGCCGGCCCACTGTAGCCGAAAGTCCAGATTCAGTAGAGTCACCGACATACAAAGAATTTGGCCGGGCGTTCGATCCGGACGACATGTCGAGACATTGTTTATAGTGTTAAGGAATGCTGACGGACAGAAACAAAAACAAAAAGCTCTCGTGTCGCAACCTTCCTCTCCACATCCTCTCTCACCTACTTTTAATTTTTTTTTCTGTTRCAATATTGACACATTTCTGCTTGTTTATTAAAACCTGGCTCTGCTGCTGTCACTCTCTTGTTTCTAAAGAAAGAGGACATGAAAGAGATGCTACAATCCAATGATCCCTGTGCTCTTAGGATGAGAGAACGGAATAATTGAAATCTGTTTGAGCTGCGGCGTTCACACACACACACAAAAAAGTGTTATGCAGCACATTTGATGCATCTGCAAAACAGCAAGGGCAGTGCAGAGATGCTGATGAGTGCACGATTCTGGAGGAACAAAATCTACTAATTATCATTCCTAAAGTAAAATCATTTTTCTTCMTTTAAAAAAAACAAGGTTTTCCTAACAATGTGCTTTTATAACTAAAAGAGGAGCTTTAGCAAAACGCGGAGGAGCATCAACACGAAGCAGAAGGAATAAAAAGGTTGAATCAATAAAACATCTAGTCAGCTAAAATTGGAACAAGCGTGCGTCTGTCACAAAGGAAACMGATATCTGCATGATCTGAGCCAGGGACTATTTCACAAGCCAGTACAGTACATCTGGCAAGCATCGAATACTTTTAAGATGAAATGATTTAATTCGTCTGTAGTGTCTGCCGTTGCTCAAAAAGCCTTGGAGTTTTTAAATAGCAAATTATTCTAAATTGCTTCTCTGTTGCTATGGAGACCCCCCCCCCCCTCCCACCTCGATGCCAATCCTGTTGTGCAATTACATCAGAGTGCCAAGGCACGGCGAGGTATTAAAAAAAAGAAATCTGTAACTGGCAGAAGCGAGCAGATAGTGGAATGTGGTGTTTCTGCAACAAGAGATCACGCAGCAGAAGCAGAGAGATTAAATATGTAGGAGCTGTTAAAAGGCGCTGACCTGTATAATGAAAGAAACAGCATGAAGTGCAAGGCAGGGAGCGGGAGAGAGAGAGAGAGAGAGAGAGAAGTGGAGGGGGGGCAGCAGAGAAAATGGCACAGCACAGAAGCAAAAGGCAGTCTATTTCAAGGTTATTGATGCCATCTTTTTCATGACCTCATTTTTAATTCACAGCGCCGGGCCCTGACAGCTAATCTCGGGAAACAGTTTAAATAAATATCATTAAAGCTTTTTTTCCCCACTTGCAGCCACGGCGGCAGACTCTGAGTTGGACATTTCTGCATTGATTTTTCTTTGTTTTTTTTTTACCCCACCGTGTTACTAATGAACGACTCTCTGTGACTAAACAACAGTAACTTTGAAGATGACAATTAACCAAGCTTATCTCCTGCTCGATTCCAGCGACGCAACTCAATTTCTACTAGTGATTACTGCCTGCTCCTGGACAGCATAAATATAGTGATTACGCCCTTGGCTCCATCTTTCACAATAACATCTCCTAGGAAACCATTTTATGTGATTTTACCATTAGGGCTGTAAAGGRATAATGTGTATAATTTAAAAAGAGAGCTGAATGCTTGTGGATAGTCGCGGTCTTTAACCCAAATAACACAGACACCCAAGAATCTCTGCTTAATTGAAAGGAATTATGTCTTGATTTATTGTTTCCTTTGTTCCCCTCATTAGCTGCAGAGAGYTTGAGCTTTGAGTTGAACTTTGCACTGATTCAAGTCCGACGGTATCCTTCAAAGAGAGCCCTGAAACACAGGAGCCGTTCCCGTTAGTACATTTTTATTTATTTTATTTGCTTGTGAAATATGTTTTTTCTGTAGCACATTGACTAATGATTAAAGGTGGAAACAAAGACGCCTCTGGGGAACAAACACACACTTGAGCGAGCSCACAAACAGCCTCATTCATCATGCAGAGAGAATGGCCGTGTTTGCTGAGTTAATACATTGCAGCTAATTGCCCTCGGAGCAGTCCGAACACCGAGGCTCAGCTAAAATTATTCCCCTYCGAATGGGAAACTTGCTCAAATTCAGCTGATCTCTCCCTCATGCACGTACCCGCCCCCCCACCCACCCCCGTACACCTTCTCCGTGTCAGCCTGATATTCACTGCAGTGTGTGGATATTATTGCTTTGTATTGATTCAGCATTATTTTCTCTCAGCCACTTCTTCACGGTGGCTGGAGAGGGAAAGGCCAGCGCAGCAGCAGTCACACCTCAGCACTTCCCATGCGAATTTTATCCAACCTCGCCTCCGTTTCTACAACCCGACTTACACCTTACGCTTGAAGAACAATATAGCTTCTAAAACATGATTTCATGGTGATTTATTACCCACAAAAATGAAAACAAAGCCCGACTTCTGCAGTGAGTTTAAATTCTTCTTAAAGGGGGCAGGGTATATTATGCAAAATCTATTTTTTAACTATTATAACTACATTATAGTGTCATTCTGTCATCAAAAACATAACCAGGGTGTTGCTTTGCTTCAGTCATGCATAAGAAATCCATGAATTTCCTGTGGTAGCCATGTGGAGCTGCTGGTACAAAGCACCGCCTTTTTGCAAAAAGCTCCTCCCTAGAGCTCAGTCTGCAGCCGAGCCTCCGCCCCACAGAGCACCCCTCCCCCATGCAGCTCCACCAGACAAGTGGCCAGAAATATTAGAAAAATATGTTGCTTCTTTTTTTTTTTACAACAAAATAAAACGCTCCTATGAAAGGTTGTAAACGGCATGAAGTGTTGTTGTGAAGACGTGATGAACTGGGAGTGTCAGAAACGGTAGGAGGCTCTTAAAGAGACAGAGGCCAATTTCAAGATGTTTAGATATGGCTATGATGCAAAATCTAATTTATTTTTGATATATACAGCTTTTTTCATAACAACTGAAGGTAACAGTTGACTGTGGTATTGAATTGAAATAYGTGTCTGGAAAATATACATAATACCTCCCTCCCAACTGTGTATTATCAGTTCTGTCAACCAGCATGCAGGTCTGACTTTGATAAAGTTCTTTTTGAGGCATAAAAGAACATTTAGTCATTTCATCAGCCTGTCGAAAAGTACTAAACGCTAAACAAAACACTTCCGCAAAGCYACGGTTTTGCAGATTTCTGGGAAAAGCCACTCCAATCGCTGCCTGAGCTTGCAAATTCACTTACAGCATGCGATCTTGACACAATCTGAAACTGCTTCGCTCCCTCATACGGCACTGCTGGCATCTTTGCTGTGTTACTGCCAGGTATGTGTGCTTGTTTGTGTGTGTGTATGTGTGTGTGTTTGTGTGTGTGTGTGTGTGTGTGTGCCTGCGCTGTGCTGATGCATGAACCTGCAACAGCCAGAGGG